TAAAATTACACTGACTTAAGTTTATAGTTATTATATCAATAGATAAATTAGTTTTATGTAATAATTGTACAAATTTTTTTAATGCATACAAACTATCTTTTTTGTTTCCTTTCTACAAAATACAAAATATCCCTTTTCTAAACAAAGATTTTTTTGTGTGAAATTATTGATTTTTTACTTAATTAAAATAAACATTGCTAAATATAGATTTAAATTTGTGCTGATAAGAATTGTATCAAAATTCCATAATAACAAGACCATTTTGCAGAGATGTACACAAATATAAAAAGTTTTAGCACAGATATTTGTACCGTGTAGTGATGTAGATTATTCAATTAAATACATCAAATAATCAAGACTAGAAAACAGAGATTTCAAAAAAAAGAATAGCAAGTGCAGGCATTATCCTAGGGCCCAGTGCCACTATAAACTAGTACACTTTGCCTAGAAAAAATAATCTTTCATAAAAATAAAAAAAATATATAATTATTATAAATGCTCAGAAAATAAAATTTAAAAAATGATATTTTTTAATTCTATTTCAATGATTTGCATAATATATCTGACAGGGCCCCTTAAAAGAGATGGGTCCCCAGGCCCCCACAAGAAATTAGTGAGAGAACTTAAAGAATAATTTCAGAAAGTACATAAACGTGATCGAAAACATTTGAACATTTATCATGATTATTTTCCGACAGTTCAAGGTGTTCTAAGTTTCACATTTCTAGGGATAAAAAAAAGAGATAAAAGTATCACAATTATTTACTAATTTTAATAGTATGTACAATAACTGCTTATTAAAAAAATAATTTACCATTAAAAAAATCAGAATGAACTGATTTCTCATTTGCAGCTAAATCCATCAAAAGACCACTGGAACCACCAGCCTAAAACAATGACAATAATTAGTTGAAAAAAGCAACAATATTTTTAAAATTAAAAATTTATCAAATCTATCAAGTTTGGTAATAAACCTGGTTTTAAAAAAATGAATTAAATAAAAATATTGAACAAAGTCACACTTACGGAAAATTTTAATTTAAAAGTTTTGCATCCCTTTTAATTACGTTTAGTCTTTTACTTTTATTTATTAGTCTACATGAAACATTGAATAATGTTTACATACATTCTACTCCCATTATTTCCTTGGATAAACTTTAAGGATATATTTATAAATTAGTGATCTAAAAAAAAAATTAAGCAAATTAATTCACGCTAAATTTACTATCATTAGTTTAACAAAGTTCATTACCAGAAAGATCATACAATTATAAATATGAATGAATGATAGAATTATATTTTACTATTGCAATTATCACACATACTGCATACATTAGTCAATTCAACATACTAAAACTTCTCAAGGAGACTATAATTTCTTAAATAAATATCAAATTTGAAATGGATGGATCAAGGAATAACAATATTTCACTGAATTTATACATCTATGTAAAACTTGTTACAATTTCTACAAAATCATGTCCTGAACAATATATTTTTCGTGTCTCATTTCATCAGATGGTGAACGAAATTGCTAATGGTAGGGATCACATGCCGAAAGAAAAAATTAAATAAATCAATGGATATAAATATTTTGTCCAAGAAGTTTTAATGAAATATACCTCCTCTAAATCCATATATGGTCCAGCTCCTTCAGGAAACATCTCATCAGCGACAACACTACCAGGGGGCTTCATTCTACTGCTGAAAAAGTAAAACATTTTACTTTTAAATAAAGAAAAAAATTACTTTTGACATAAATCTAAAGTTAAAAAACACCATTTAAGCATGTCAAAAGAAAATATAACCATTTCTGCTCAATAGTCTTTGAAAATAGTACAAGTCAAAGAAAAATAACAAAATAAACTTTTATTTAATGCAATTGCAATTCATACTGTGTTAATTTTTGTTACTATAGCAGCGTATCTACCACTACATAATTACAACTACAATTCACTAGTATATAAGACATGTTAACTCGACTCTATGTAGGGGTACCTTTTCATAGATGATGGTTGACATGGTCTGTAACAACTAGCCCCACATTGGTGACCCGGACGTGATGTGAACACGCCTACCTTTGCAGAAACGCCCACTTCGATATGAACATGCCTACCTTTGTAGAAATGTCCACTTCGATATGAACACGCCTACCTAGACAGTAACGTCAACTTTGATAGATGGTACACATGGAACAGTTGACTTGCTACTTGTGACTGTGACATTATCCACCTTCTCACACTGTTGCTACTCATTCTAGTCTCGATCACTCACAACATCGGCTTGCATACACTAAAGGCAACACGGGAGCGACTACGACCATGATCTTAATTCAGCTCTCATGACTAATGTTCAAAACCTGATGACCTTAATCCAACTCTCCCGGTCTGTCACAAATACAGCAATGAATCAACTAGTGGTATCCATGTATTGAATTCTATCACAGCTATAATTCTGGTGGGGCAGTACTGTAGCGTATCTACCACTACAAAATTACAACTACACTTCACTAGTATATAAGACATATTAACTCGACTCTATGTCGGGAAACCTCTTCATAGGTGACGGTTGACATGGTCTGTAACAACACTATGACGACATGCCCCACACTATGACAACAAAATAGCTAAGAATATGTTATAAATTCTTTTAAAAAATTTTATCTGGATTTTTTTTAAATAATTTTTTTAATATAAATTTAATTTCTTAATGAGCATTAAGCATTGAATGTTGTCAAAGTTAACAATTCTCACATAAAAGTTCGTAAAAATAATATTTTGAGTGTATTTCTGGGTAAATTGCTTAAAAAATACAGGCTTTTCATTCATCCTGTGGCATACTGCCAGCTGCCAAGGGATCTTCTGAAGACAGGAAAAATATTTATTAACCCTTTAACTGCCGCGGGCGTACATATACGTCTCAGCCAGACGATGCGTTAACTGCCGCAGGCTCATATATACGCTTTCCCGAAATACGATGCTTTGCATTGCGCTGCTATAAATAGAACTACACCCCCGACTTTTGAACACAGTAAAATGACCTTGTAAGTGTTTGCCAATGAAAATGTTTGCAATGAATGTATTACCAATTTCGGAGGAGGGGGAAAGGGATGTGTTGGAAAAGTTATATCATAATATTTATTGCTTTTGTGTTTCTATTTGAGTAAGGTTGGGATTACTCTTCTTTCGCTTTCGTTTCCCGTGTATATTCGTCGAGAGTCCCGCTACCAGTGCAATGAATGTGATGTTGGTTTATGTGTCCAACCATGTTTCAGGATTTATCATACAACAGCTAAGTTTTAACATCTTTTATATTGTATTTTTATTCTTCAATTTAAGTTTTGTATTTTCTTTTTTTCCTTTTTCTTCTCATGTGAAAGTAAACTGTTTTTAAATTGCAAAGCGTGCATCTTTTTTCCCTACCAAAACACCGTGTAACAAAGCGCACTTGAGCGAAAAACGGTGGCATTGGGGAGTGAATCACATAAATTTTACTTGGCAGGTGAGGGGTTAATTAAAAGGAAAGTCTTTTTAATAGTTCTGCTTCATGCAAACAATCCTAGTACCAATAAGTTGTAGCACTAAGTTATAGGAAAATGTGCTAACCTTAAATATTTTAAAAATGTGAAAAGCTTACTGTAAGTCAAATAAGATAGCCTGGATGACAGAAGAAATCTTTATCAATTGGCTGATTGATGTGAATAAAGAGATGAAAAAGAAAAGAGCTTTCATAGTTGATAACTGCACAACAATCCCCGAAGCTTATAAAACATTACAGTGTTTTATTTTCCACCCAAATGCATGTCAGTTCTACGGCCATTAGATTCAGGCATAATAAAGTATGCCATTAGATTTGGGCATATCAAAAAAGATTAATTTTTGCTATGCTAATAAAGAGGAAAAAAGAAGTCTTCATTCGATATTGAATAAATAACAAATTTAAGGAAAAAGTGCTTGTGGACTTGTGAATAGAGCTTGCAGCCTGGCGGATGAAAAATGGTAAAGATTTAGAAAACGTGCAACAGATTTTTTTTTTTCATTTTTAATTTATTAACATTTTTACTTTTTCTTTTGGTTCGCATTCTTATATGCCTAAGTTATTTTGAGATGGTTATTTTTAAAGCTAAATTAAATATAAAATGTTGAAATAAATTTCCCTAGTAATTAAGAATATCATTAATATGTCGCTCGAAGTAAGTTAGGTATTGTATGTCTGTGTCTTTTAAAATATCATAGTGTTTTGTATATTAATATATTAAATATTATTTGTATACATAGCTTTACAATCTTTTTATTTAACTGTTGCTTTATCTAACAAGGTCTTACCAAAATTGAATTCATAAAATATATGGGAAGATTTCTGTATAAATAACCAGACCGAGAAAATATTATGCCAAGAAATTGCCTACAGTTTAAAGTATTCGAGAGTAAGTTTTATTTCTCGCCCAAAAAATAACTCACGACGCTCAACATATGCTTTTTTATCTATATACTTAACAAATTATTAAATCTAAACAAACATAAAAATATATAACGTTTATTTCGTGAATATGAACAAAAAGATACTAAATAATTCAATGACATAAAAATTTTAAAACATTACTCACATCAAATGTTTTGTTTACTTTGCAGGAAAACTTAGTTTATTTGCAAAGAGCACGTTTTCAACTAACTATTTTTACCCGACTCAAGATTTGCTTACAGAGTAGACACGAAACGGTTGCAGCTAATACTGAGGAACAATTTTATTTTCAACTCATAAGAGCTATTTATTACTGTATGACTCTTTCGGGAGAAAATGTTTTTCACCAATCAGGTTGTCATTATCCCTCCATGATGATCGTAAGTGAGTGCACCCCATAAAGAATGACCCTTTAAAAATGATTTCAACTAACTCTAGGCTGCTTTGTTTATTTTTAGGAACTAATTTGAATATGTAACACTCGTTTAATTTTCAATTTAATTATAATATTAATAAGTAAATAAATAAATAGTTTTACAATTTGTCAGATGACAACCATTGAACCCGTGACTGTTACGTCATATTCGTCTGTAATCTCTCTGTGAAATAGAGAGAAGTTTTTTCTTTCATTCTCTACTTGTTCATAGACTGTAATTGTTGTGAATCTTATGGAAACGTTAAGGATTCTTAATTAAATCTGATTATTTTAATCAATTTTGAAATTGTTGAATCAGCTACAATTAAAATTTTCTGATTAGTTACTGCGTCTCAGTGTCGAAATTGTGCACGAAAGAATTAATTTAAAAATCTGGAGTGTAAATTACATCAATTATGAAAATCACTTTGCTAGCTTTTGCTGTTATATTTCTTTCAGCATGTAAGTATCTTCTTCAACAATGTTTATGACAACTGTTATTTTTATACGTTTTAAAAATGTTTGCTTTTATTTGTTAACTGTGGCCATTTTATTGACAGAGTTTTTAACTTGTATGCGTTAAAATGTAAATTTTTTCTGTATTGATATCGCTGTAATTTTTCTCTTTATTTCTTTGATCTGTCCTAAATTGCGTCAAGATTTCGGTTGTCACTGCCAAATATCAAATGAGCCGGCTTCTTTTCGGCATGAAAAATATTTTAAAACCTCTATACTTAGCAGTTAGAATAGGTTTGTCTTACCGTTAGTGATGTATATTGTGAAACACTTATATTGTCAACACAATTATTGCATAAATCTTATAAGGAAACGAAATACAGTATAACTTCTGTTTTATTTTATAAATCAATGTACATATGATATGGCTACATACCTGAATACTAGGGGAGAGGGGGGCACCTTTCAACATGGGGCACCTTTCAACAACTAGANTAAATCAATGTACATATGATATGGCTACATACCTGAATACTATATATTGTGCATTACAATATTAAGTTTTAAGGTCATGTATATATAAATAACACCGTTTGATATTTAAATTGCATGAATAATAATTATGATCTATAACTTTTAAATTGTGTATGCAAATCTCAAGGTACCTATAACTTTTAAATGATGTAAATCGATGTTTGAAGAATGTCAATGATGATGTGAATATGAATTGCGATTTTTGGTTTTAGGCATGAAGTATACACATTACGACTTCTAATTTTAAAAATGCATGAGTATACACATTGCAATATTGGATTTTTTAGTCACTCTAGGAATAGCGATGTGTAACTTTCGAATTGAAGGGATCAAATTGTAATAGTTTATTTTTTAAATTGTATGAACATTCCTGTTAAATTTAAAAAAGTATTCTTAAAATCGACAAATTTCCATAAATGTATACGTGCACTACGTGCGTGTCAATATATAGACAGGCGCACACAGAGAATTATGATTTTTAAAATTATATTGATTTTCTATACTGTGTAATAAAATGTTTGAGAAAGAGATCAGTATTAAGAGCCTTATTAGATGCTTTGAAAATACTTTTCTGTTTTTATCTTTATAACGTAAAGTGTTAAGTATTTTGTCATAACAGTAAGGGATATCTTATATTGCAAATTTGAAAAATCAAGCTTAAAATTTTGAAAAATGCTTCTTCAACCATTAAGCACTTTTCAAGTATGTATTTAACAGAATTTGAATTAGGAATATAATTTCTAGAGTTTGCATTCTAATTAAGTATCCAGCACAGAGTATATACTTTCTTTTGAAGTTGATCTGAAAAATCCTATCTGTACAGTGTAATCAGAAGGGAAAAAAAAAGCTTAGTGGAAAGAATTATTTGTATCCACCTCCTGGTGAAATGCTCTGTAATTTTCTCAAAATATTATATTTTTTATCATATATTATTACAAAGCACTAAGATAACAAGCAAAAGTAGACAATGACAGTTAAACTATTTAGTAAACGCTTTTGCTAGACTTATAGAATGTAGTCGTGGAGGCTGTGCAAAAAGTTATGTAATTTTGCTGAAAATTTCGGAAGTCTTATTACCTCTCATGCTTCTTATCAGTGATCAGAAGAAGAGCACTACAAATAGCTAAACTACTGTAGTCGTTACTTTTTATCGTAGTTTACAGTGTAGTGTGCTATTTTTTTTTATTTTTAAAAAAAGTAATGTAGTGCAATACAAAAAAAACATTAGTTTGTAACCATTCCTTGCTACTTTTTACGTTAGCTTAGTATATGAACAGGGTTCTAACACAACTAATTTTTCGAATTTGATGGGTACAAATCTTGGCGGGTCGGACAAAGGTCTCAATTTTAATTGTCCCTGTGACTGTTAGTTAACAAGAATTGCATATGACTAGTAGCTAAGCTAGCTGTTATGAATAATAGATCTTAGTCTCTTTAGTCTCACTTTCACATGCGAATGTTGGCTTATAAAACATTGATATTTCAAAGGAAGGAAACATATTTTTGCTGTGCTTAATTTCTGAGAGGAAATAAAATAGCATTAAGCATTTAACAAGTATTTGATAATTTCATAGCATCTCTTAAATTAAATATTCGCTGTCAAGAATGGCATTAAAAATTTGAGGACTAAATTAACAAATTCGGTAGAAGTGTTTTAGAATAATAAACTGATATCTGTAAACATGAGTAAATGGTTCTAAATAATTATAAGTCAATTTTTTATTTAAAACAATTATGAACTTAATGTGTAAATTAATTTCACCAGCCGAATTATATTGGTGTAAATGAACTTCTCAAACAAAGTTCAGTTTCTTATAGTAGTGAAGTAGTCACAGAAATTCCAAAGTAGATTGTAGTCGCTACATTTAAAAAAAAAAGAGTAGTTTTAGTTAACTACATTTGTAACAAAGTAGTTGTAGTAAACTACAAAAATAATGTAGTTTTTTTTACTACTGCTTATTACACACAACAGTGTGTAATAAGCAGTACCACATGCCATTCCTTATACAGTCTTAGTACACACTCACAAAAAAAAATGATGGGTTGTTCACTTAGTGTGCTATGCGTATGCTCCTCAAAATTCAAAGAGGCCTTCTCAAAGGGGGTAAGTAGAATTGCCATTGAGACTAAAACTAGGTGTTCTATTCTTGGAGATATATTTTTGATCAGAAATATTGTTCATAAAGTATAGACAAACAATGAAGAGTAATTATAGGTGTTTTCTCATCTGTCTTTTCATAAATCACATGATCAAGCCCATAAATAGTATTACTCATTATATAAAAGGAGATTGGAAAGATTGTACAAAAAAATCCACTTAAAAGGTAAAACAAGGTTAGTCAATAACTAGTTTTATGTTGTCAAAAATCTGCTAAATTTAAGTAATGAATAACTGTATTAAAGTAGGGTTCTGGTATGGATAACAATCAGTATAGAATTTTATGCAAATGAAAGCTTTTAAAAATAGTCAATTATTTTTGTATAGATTTTGTCCAAATTAGGTGGCAACAAATCAATAAAAGGAAATAAACTAGTTACAAGAGTCAATAAATTGCTAGAATAAAGTTTTTGAACTCAGATTTTGTGTTTGCAAAAAGTTTTTCTTTTTATCTGAGTCTGACGATTAGTTGAGTGCAAATCCATAGCATTACCAATAATGAACTAAAAATTTTAATCATCATTGAAATGATTAGGAGCTGTTGCTATGCCTGTCATCGAATAGTTTTCTTTTTACTGAAGATCTAAGATATTAATGGAAAAGCTATTATCTGTTTATTATTTGGTATTATAGCTTGTTCAATGCTCATAAAGGTATTTCATTTTTATGCACAATTAGAATCGACTCTGATTTAACAAGCAAATTGCTTTGGTGTCTTCAAGGCGTTTGCATGTTTGTAACTTGTTTAGATTTCTCAATTATGTCAAGTAGAGAGTGACTGTACAATTTTAATGTTAGGTATGGCTGAATTCTGTGCATTTTATTCAATGAAACTATAAGATTACTTTAAATGCTGTTTCTTAAAAGATCTCATTAATCATAACTTTCATGATGAATACCTATCACAGTATAAAAAGAAATATTTTAAATTTTACTATCTTTTATTTGTTGTTGGTTTATGAATATTTAATGCAATATTGTATTTACTTCCACATAAAAAGTGTTTTAAGAGATTCTGTTTATTCAACTTTTTTTAAATGTGTTTACGATCTAGACATTTTTGAACTCTTAGTGTACTTATAGTATATATTGCAATGATTTGGTTTTAATACAGTCAATCATTTTTGTAATGTGTGGATTTTTTCAATAATTTTGAGCAATTGATATTAATTAATACACATTTCTATAGTGTGGTGATTTTGTTGGTCAGTGGTTCGTAAAATGTCTTTAACTTTTGCAATTCTTAACGGTACTATTCTATGTATTTGTTCTTAAGATTTTCCAAATTTCTAACTAGTACTTAACATACGAATTATTTGAAAAGAACGTTCAATGTTTTTGATCAATGCAGAAAATTTGATTTGGCGAAATTCAAATAAATTATTAACTGCAGCTTAAATAAAGGTATTTTAAATTTTTTTTTTTCACTTTTTAAATTTTTGTAGGTTCATTAGCTCAAAACTCTAGTCAAGATCCAGAAGGTAAATCTACAGATGTTTCTGTAGAAACTTCATCACCAATTTCATCTTCAAGCTCAGATGCGACAACTACGACTTCGACTTTAGCTCCAACAACCACAGCCTCTTCAAGCTCAGTTCAGACTACCACAGCCTCTTCAAGCTCAGTTCAGACAACCACGGCCTCTTCAAGCTCAGCTCAGACGACCACATCTTCTGAGCCAACAACCACTTCAGTTTCTCCAACTCCTTCTCCTACTCCTGAAACAACCACTTCTCATGAAACAACTACATCTCGTGAAACAACTACTTCTCATGAAACATCAGTTTTGCCTACGTCTTCGACCGAGTCCCCAGTAACCACCACAGCTCCAATTCCAGTTCCAGAACCTGGATATTGGAATGTTACTGAAGGAAATACAACATGCATAAGAGCTAACTTGGCAATTAGATTTAAAATAGAGATAAATGTAAATATTTCCTAATTTCTCTTCTATCTTTATTTAGACTTTTAAGTTTTTAGCCCCAGCTAATGAACTATGCACACTTAATACATTTTGAAACAAATTTATGAATTAGATAGACTGGTAATTGTTAATAAGTATTTTTTCATGTTCTAATTATTTTTGTTATTGTGCAACTGTGGTTTAAATGTTAATTTGGTGCATTTTCAAGAAATATATATTTATATTCGATATTGAACTTTTTAAATAAGGAATTAATAGAAAGTAAAAATTCTAAGTGCTCAGCAATTTAAATAATATTTTCATTTTGAAAATTTTCTTTCTATAAGAGATAAAAAATTTAAATTAATAATGTCAGGGGTCTGTCCAGGCCGAATTTACTACCGTTTAGTGGTACCTTCACAAATTCAACTTAAGGAAAAACGGTAGTTTCACAAATTCAACTTAAAGAAAAACGGTAGTTTCACAAATTCAATTTTAGGAAAAACTGTAGTTTCCCAAAATACTTTTTCTTAAAATTTTATTTTTGTATCCCTTAAGAAACAATAAATCCATATTTTTGTGTTGATTTTTAAATATAATTTTTAGTTTTTCACAAATTATGTCTAAATTTTCACAAAATAGGTTCCTCTCAGAAAAACCTAGACCCTGAATGTACAGTGTCCATTTTTTATTATTAAGTCCAAAATTTCATAAAATACATGAATGAAATTGTATATCTTACAATTTAAAATTTTTGCAACTATTATTAAATAAATTAATAAATATTTACTTAAAGTTAATTTTTGAATGGAAATATTTATAAATTAACGAGTTTTATAATTGTGTGTGTAAAAGTTATTCAATTCGCTTAAAAAGTTCTAGAGTTATGGCTATGTATGCAAAAAGTGAAATTAACATTAAAGGATTCAAACTTTAAACTGCTCTTCTAACCAATCTATGGGGACCCTATTTGGAAGATTGCTACTACTCCATACACTTTGGTGGAGAGAATCCGAATCCATCAGAAAAAAAGGGTTTGTTTATTCAGAGAAAGTACATTTTTGTGTCTGGTTTCGTAACTCTAAGTACCCAACTTAAGTAGTACTACAATAATTAAATAGCCTGTTTGAGGTCACCCTCTTTAACCATTAAGACTGAGTCGTAGAACCTGAAGATCCAATCATTAAATCAGAAGTTATTTATTGTGAACCTTTTTTTTGTGCACTGTAAATATAATCTTGTTTTTTGTGAAAAAGTATTATTGCATTGCAAATTTTTTTTTTTTTTTTTTTTTTGCAGATNTTTTTTTTTTTTTTTTTTTTTTTTTTTTTTTTTTTTGCTCATTCTTATTAACTCTAGCAATAGTTTTTTTTAATTGTTAGATTTAAACTAAGGTATCTTGATTCATTTCAGGGTCAAGTTGATTATATTTTATTAAGACCAACTGCATCCTCTGATGGAAGTAAATGCAATACATCCGATGGTACTGAATTATTATTATTGAAAGATGTCGATTACAATATAATTTTTGTTTTTGAGAAAAGTTCTGATAATATTTATGTGAAAAACACTTCTTTTACCTACTACTTGCCTTTCTCAACTGGTATGTTGTTTTCTGAACTTTAGTTTATTTCTTTAAAATATTGTCAAATATTGACTTTTTTTAAATGTATCATTTACTTTTTCCTTCTTAGAAACATTTACCAACGATTCTCATTTCTACGAAGTGAAAGCTGGAAATTCTTATTTGTGTAAAACTCCCAGTGATGTCATTCTCGGAAATGCAACTATGGAAGTACTATCTATTCATTTGCAAGCTTTTGGTGCAGAACATAATAAGGATTTTGGATCAGGTCAGTTGGTTTAAAAAGAACAATTAATAGGCTTTTAATGATACATTTGTTCTAACAATTAAATATATATTTAAGCACGATGGACTTAATTTTTTGTAACTGTAAAGTCTTATTCTAATTAGGTCTGAAGGTAGGCCAATCGTTTGATTACAAAAATAGAATTGAATATGGATGGGAGAAATGTTCTATTTATGCTTGACCGAATTTTATACTAATTTTATTAATCAACATAAATATTAGACTTCATTTTTGATCTAATAGTACTATCATTAAAAGATAGTTAATCTAAATTGTGGTGTCTAAATAAAAATTAATTTTCTAAATAACTTCTTGTGAAAATTATCTCTTCAACAATTTCAGAATGTAAAACAAATGTAAGTTGCTATGATGTTGACATGCCTGAAATTATCCCCAAGTTATTTAACAACATAAAAAAAATCAGCATATCTGATCCTGAGGCACAAAAATTAATGCAAGCTGAATCGTGGTGTCTTAGGGGATAGAACATTTGCCCACAATGAGGTGAACCAGTTTTGAATCCCAGCGACGACTAGTCGATACGAATTCCGCACCTGGATCACACCAACCATAGTGCTAGCATAAAATATCCTCAGTGGTAGACAGGTAATGGGTTAGAGTACCCTTGCCATTGTGTGAAGTTTTCGTGGTTTTTCTCTGCATGTAACCCAAATGCGGGTTAGTTCCATCAAAAAATTCACCAAGAAGGCAAATTTCCCCCAATACTTGGTCCAGAAGTTCACTTGTCTTCTGGATTGGGTTTTAAATTACAAGGCTACAGAGTGGAACGTTAGTAGTCGTAAACCCAAAATTGGATCGGCTGTTTAGTGACAGTTATAAAATGAAAGCTAGTTGTAGAGGGTCATTCAAAAGTTGTAAGTTTAAGTATTTTAAAAAAATGTTTATTAACTTTTTTTTCTTGTCTGATATATTATAATGCTCGTCTACCTATAGCTAATATATTATCTAGTTGTTTCAAATATCTTTGAAACCATTAAAACTTTAAATGCTTCAATTTTCAGCTGAGGAATGTGGAGCAGATAGTCCTATCAATGATGTTGTTCCCATCGCCGTTGGAGTTGCTCTGTTGGCTTTAGTGATAGTTGTACTTATTGCATATCTTGTTGGAAGGAGAAGAAGTCGTCAAAGGGGATACCAATCTGTTTAATTTTAAGACTGAGCTCCAGAAGTAGACTTCGAGTGTACTTATTTTGAAGGTTAACTTAAGAAACCAAGCACTATGGTCATGCTATGCATGTTTTACTGTGCTGCATTTGTTTGCACATGTCTATTTTTTGAACCCACAAAAATATGTAAAAACAATAATTGTCTAGAAAATGTAGAGAATAATTGTAAGACTGTAGCACAAATCGTTCTCGTTCAAAATGACATGCTTGGTATTTCAGACTTTTTTTAAAATAAATAAGCTTACCAAATGTTTTTAATTTTTGTGTTGTTGTTAAAAGAAATACTTATTTTTATTCTTTTTTTTGTACCCTATTCTTTTTTCAACAATGCTTATGATGAGATTGTGATTTCCTCTTCAGTTCGAGATGGCTTATTAAGCCAACGAGTTGTAAATATATATAATAGTTAATCGTTCTCTCTGTTTGATGTTTAGAATTACTCAAATGTAAATGTTGCTTTTTGTTAATAAAGTCTTTCACAGTCCTTGTGTGTGTGTGTGTTTTTTTTTAGACAAATTGATGTTGAATAAACGTTAGAAACTGGCTAAATGTGCAGAACAATCCGATACATGTAGCTGCTTATTGTTTCATTAAACTTTATCTGAAAGGTATCCTAGATGCTTTCTAAAAAGAAAAATAAGTTTGAGATTTAATACAAAAGGAAATATTCAGTTTTTAACTAGGTGTGCATCACACGTAAGGAGTTTCCAGCTTGAAAATTCATATTAAAGATCGATTAAAAAAAAATATTTTCGGATTCCAAGCATTTGGCCATTATCTTGGAATAATAATTAACAAGAACCGCAGTTAATGTGAAAAAAAAGTTGTAACACGAAACGTTTTAATTTAAAGCAAATTATTTTTTTTTAAACTTAACTTTTAAATAAAATAAATTTGAATTAACACCTTAGTTGGTTATAAACTTCCTACAAAAAATAATCTGATAATAATTATCAGTAAAATTAATAAACTTGTTACAAAAGTTTATCAGTTAATAATTTTTCAGTAAAAATTTAATCTTATCTGATATCGATTTAAAATTGAAAGTGCTTACTCGTGATTACAGGTAATCTTGGTCTACGATTAATTTAATATGTGATCACAAGCACTCGTGATTACAAGTTAGCATATTAGAGTTTTGATTTATATCTAAGACTTACTTATTCCGTAAAAAGAACTCAATAGTTCAACTTGGACTGTAAGTACATGAGATAATCAAAAAAATAAGATAATTAGCGGGGGAATAAATCAATGATTCGGCCTTTATTCAATTCGCTCATTTATTTATTTACTCTGTCTTACAATCCAGACCTTAAAATTTAATAAATTGTCGCCTAAATGTAATTTTGTTGCCTCAAGCGTTTCTTGGAAACTACTTCTAAACGTAGTTGAAAGGAATATGAGTCTCACTCTAATAGGCGAGCCAATGGAGCTATATTGCTGCAGTGAAAGTAATTGCAGTGTCGTGGAGAGGCTAACATCAAAACGTAGTATATTGCTATTATTTTTATTGTGATGTTGGTTTGCGTCGCACTAAAGGGGCACAAAGGACTATTGGCGACGGTCTGAGAATGATCCGAAGACATGCCATCAAAATTTTGATCCTCTGCAGAGAGGGGATGGTTCCATAGAGTTAAAATTATGTAGTATTCCAGTATTTCAACTCTATGGATGGTTCCCCTGCTACGGTAGCCCGACGCGAAGGTGAGCATTTTACGATAGACCAGTTTAACGAGGACCGATACCGCACACTTTGGTTCCATTGCAGGTTGATCAAAGAAGTCAACAACCCGCAAAGTGACCGCAGCCAATGATGCTTGACTTCGGTGTTCTACTGGGAGGCGTGTCTTAACGATCAGTCCACAGTGGGACATTTTCATTATGAATTTAACAGGCAAATCTTTGGCAAACAAAAAATAATTTATGAAGACAGCAAATTTTAAACATTAATTTTATTTTATTTAGGACAAAGCAAAATTTATGAAAATCGTCAATTAAAATTGTACTTATTTCGTGTAAGAAGAATTTAAAAGCATTTTATTGGAAAATATATATTTTTTTACCATAGTAATTTTACTGACATTTATATATGTTCAAGTTACATAATATGTCCTCAGTGGTAAACTGATCATATTTAAGAGTCCCCTTGCCGTCAGGCTAATCGTGGGAGGTTTTCCTCTCCATGTAAGGCAAATGCGGGTTAGTTCCACCAAAAAGTCCTCCACTTAGGCAAAATTTCTTCCAATACTTGATCCAGAAGTTCCCTTGTCTTCTGAACTAGGTTCAAAATTACAAGGCTACGGAATTGAACATTGGTAGTCGTAAACTCAAAATTGGGTCGACTGTTCAACGATGGTTATAACATTCATATATAGAGCTTCGGTGGTTGACTGAGACGAATTCTACTCACACCGAACATAGTCCTGACGTAAAATATCCTCAGTGGATTATGGGTTAGAATCCTCTGGCCTTTGGGCTAATCGTGGATGGTTTGGTTTTCAAGATTTTTCTCTTCATTTTACTTAAATACAGGTTAGCTTCACCCAAAAAGTTTGTCACAAAAGCTAGTTTGTCTCAATGCTTGACAAACGTTCTATTGTTTTCTGGGTTGGTTTCAAAATTACAAGACCACAGAATTAAACATTGACAATTTGACAGACGTTAACTTAGCATATGGTCAGATCTTCAGCGCCTATCGCAAAGTAAAAAAATAATAGTAAAATATAAAAATATGAATTTTAAGCAAAAATAATTTTTTTAAAAGTTTTTTTTAAGGAATATTTAAAATTAGCACTGATTTTTAAACGAAATTAAACTCAAATTTTAAAGATTAGAAAAGTGAATTGAAGCATTGATAAACAACATTAATTTGCTCTTTCGCATGAAGGATTCTACATCAAATCATACATAATCGAGTTTTTAAAATATCAATACACATTGTTAGTTTTTTCTTTTCTTCTTTTCTCTCTTCTGAAAAATAGCTGCCTAAACACCTACAGGCTACTTCAAACATAAAAATGAGTATCACATGAAAGGTTTCGCTCTTGTTTAATCAGGAAGCTTAGAATAGAGAGAGAGTGAGTAAGTCATCTACATGGTTATCGCATATCATCATCACGTGTAATAACGATTCAAGTTTCTAAATCAGTTAAAAGTCATGAGACTATCAATTTGTTTATGGCAAAATACGGTAATTGAACTAGAGAACTGCTACAAATTCTTTTAACAGTCGAACTCAGCACTTTAAAATTTTATTTCAGCGCTGTGGTTGAAAAAGCAGATTACGCGTAAAATGACTTTAACTCTTTGACGCAGAATTTTTATTCAACATAATTTAGGTCAAAATAAGTGAAAATGTTATATTTTTTGTAATTATTTAAATCTAAGAGAAACAGTTATTCATCGTTGAATTTTCTTTAAATCTAGAAAATCAGTTATTGATAAATTTTTAAAAATAAATGGAAAAAAAATATAAGAACTTTTTTTTTTTTGCGTTTCATAATTTAGTACAAACATAATTCCGATAATCTAACAGATTTTTTTTTAATAACTATTGAACTGGTTCTTATAATTAAACCACCAAAATATGTTTTATCTAAATATATTTTTGCATGTAAATAGAGAGGCTTAAATATATATATATATATATATACATANCATCGTTGAATTTTCTTTAAATTTAGAAAATCAGTTATTGATAAATTTTTAAAAATGAATGGAAAAAAAATATAAGAACTTTTTTTTTTGCGTTTCATAATTTAATACAAACATAATTCCGATAATCTAACAGATTTTTTTTTAATAACTATTGAGCTGGTTTTTATAATTAAATCACCAAAATATGTTTTATCTAAATATATTTTTGCATGTAAATAGAGCGGCTTAAATATATATATATATATATACATGTAAGGAACAGAGGAGCGTGAGAGGGTTAAGCCATCGGAGATTTTAATCTATTAATTTACAATTTTCAGTGATAAAAAAGGGTGCTTTTAAGAAAGAAAAAATTGCCATTCGTTCAGAAACTTTTTTTTCCTTGGGAAATTCCAATTTAAAGGAAGCATAAAGAAACAGGGATAGACGATACTAAGCTTGTAAAGTCGTTAATAAAAAGAAAATTTTACAGCATTCCGATTTTTTTTTTATTCCTTTACGGCCTCCATTTTTGTTAGTTGAAGACTTAATTCCTATGCATGAAAATTATTTGAACAGACATAATTACGCGATCAAAATATTAACTGAATGAATTTTATGACAATTATTTAAATTGTAGCTCATCACAAATTTATTACGTTTACCCATATCTAAGACTTTGTTTTATTGAATCACTGAAAAAAGAGTGGAAAACTACTAAAACAATTTTAAAAAATGGATCTTGATGGATTATTAATAAATTATTTTTAATTCATAAAAGTTCTAAACGAAATTCATTAAGCTAAGTTGCAAAGTTAAATAGACAATACAAATGAATTTTATGTATCACTTGTAATAATTTCCAAGCTCATGAATGTTCACTAAATCTTCTAATACGATGTTTAGATAAATGCGTGAGTGAGATATTAATAATATCTAATCCTTTTTTTTATAATGGTTTCGCGCAGCCTCAAATATTTGTAAAAATATATTTGCTAAAATTTATTTTTTCAATTGCTATGTAATTATATAAAATGCAATTTTAACTAAAATATATGCAATTCTAATATCACTTAAAAAAAAAAAGGAGAAATTCATACTTTGAAATTACTACCTATAATTCGGAAAATAAATAATTAGTATAAGATTTAGTTAGGCTCTCAGGGCCGGAGTAGCTTTTTTTAACTACCGACTGCACAGTCATGGATAAAACAATACTAAGTGAAAATCATTCAATTAAAAGCAATTATCCAGGTTCGTGTTTTTTTTTTTTACTTATTTGTTTCATTTATCAAAGAATTGAAGAAGCTGAAGCTTTTATTTAAGTTAGGGTTCAATATTTAGTCAAGTGGGTATAATATCACTACCATCAAACTGCCACTTAGTCCATCTTTGGTCGATTAATTTAAATATCTTTAGTCTTATACTAGTGGGGTTTTTCCTCCTGCTAGCTTTGTTCATCAACACCAATGATTACCACATTAATTTTTTGTTTCTTGACCATAAAAAGGTTGTTACATTTAATATAAAAAGCATTAAATTAAAATATTTCAAATGGATTTATTATATTAACACCGATTTGGTTAAACATTTTTAATATTTTTAATAAAAATTTTTCTCGGTTACATTCATCTTCCTCTACAGTTTTGTTTTTTAAATTCTTATTTAATTTTTAATTGCTTTTAAAACTAGTTAAATGATTTTCGCCCTAGAGATTATGTAGTAATAGTGCGAAAAATTGATTCCGAATAATGTTTTAAAATTTTTGCATTCATTAATTTAATTGCATATATGTTTATTTGAAAGAGTTTTACACAAAGCCTTTAATAATAAAATAGAATGTAACTC